ATACATTTTTGTATGTAGCTAATCCAGCATGATGCTAATTTGCATATAATATTAGCATTAACTTGACAAGGTTTTCTTTTGGTATTAGACTTTTTATAACAACATTAGAAAATCTATTTTAGAGAAAAAGAATTTAAAGTCCATGGATGTATTAGGATTATACATGAACCTTCAATCATCTTGTCTCTATTGAATTTATAGGTTGGTCTTTATTGATGATGAGGACCCGTGATAGAGGGGTAAAATATAATTTAAAATAATTGTTAGGATGCTAAAGATGAACCCTAATAAAACTAAGAAAACTAAGAAAGATAAATAAATCTAATTAATAAAATAAAGACATTTTCATTCATTTGATACTTGGATAATGAATTAAGAGCCCAACAATAGCCCAATAATAATACTAATAACTAATAATATAAATTCTAAATCATATTTTACCCCTCTATCATTTTCGTCGGGTTCACTTGAACCTTGTCCTCGAGGTTCTAATAAATATATATATTTGAAATGGAAAATAAAATGAGAAAGAAATAGTTGGCAAGTTATGGACTTTCGGATGTAATGATGAAGTAGGAGAAGTAGTGCGTTACATTCTAAGAAGGCACCGCAGATCCTTGTTAACAGAGGAAATATCTCCAACACAAATTGTTACTGATAGCCTTATATCCCATTTAGTAACATGGGTTATATTGAAGGATTCCCCATCACCAAAAGTATTGTTTTCATCAAATAATGACATCAAAATTGCTAAATAAACACATACACTAATATCTTCCCCATTATTACAACAAACAAGAAGAAGTTGTTTTCCATGACGAAGGTTGAACTTTGTGAAGCTCACGACTTTGGAAAGATTGTTTAATAAAGAAAAGCAATCAAACTTTGAACTCACCATTGGAAATGTAGATACGCATCAGTACTGGGAAAAGAAACCAAGATGGACTCACTATCAGAATTTAATATGCAATCGACATCAGCTGCATCTGTAGCATATTGAGATGCACCAGCTTCCAGATTAGTTGAGCCCAACCAAGAAACTACAAAATCTTCAGAAGACTCGTTCGCGTCAACTTTAATATTTGAAACATCATAAGCCAGTAACAGTTCTTCATGTGAAAGTGATTTAACTCTAATCTGAGGAGCATTCTCTCCTCTATCAACATGACGCATCCTACTTTTTTCGACTATATCTGCAACCTTCTGATTACATATTTCCGAACCTGAATTTACAAGATCATAAACATGATTCCAAAAGAAAGGCAAAATTAAACCCCTAGACCAACCTTCTTTGTCATTTCCGGCACTCAAAAATATTGGACCAAAATACCCTTAGTTAAATATCTATAATTTTTACATTTTTTCATTTTCACTTCCATTTCCCACTTTCTATTTTAAGACTTCCGGAGTGCTCTCAACTTTTCTTACAAACCGGAACTCTTATACAAACACTTCCAGAACACATTTCATTTGCAATACATACCGGAACTCTAAGAGTAAGTCTTCCGGTTTGTATTTTGTTTTTGCTTCTTCACCGGAACTCTTTCCTGAAGACTTTGGGTTCACAAACTTTTGAGTTTGTTCACCGGAACTCTTTCCTGAAGACTTCCAGTTCATAAGAAATTTGAGTTTATTCACCGGAAGTCTTTCCTAAAGACATCCGGTTCACACAAATTTTCGTTTCATCTCCGGAAGTCTTTCTTGAAGACTTCCGGTTCATTGTTTTTTTTTTAATTTTTAATTTCTAATTATATTTATTTATTTTTTTTAATTTTTAATTATATTGATTTTTTTCAGTGGTGCGCACACGAGGCAGAGATGGTAGGATCCCTCGTGGACTAGGACAGGGCGAGTCATCGAGGATGGCTGAAGAAGAGCATTTTGATGCATCTGCATCAGCATCCGAGCCGGTTGGATATCCAGGAGGACCGTATGATACATCTCTGTTAGTTAAATACGAACAACATGTTGCATACCGTATATGGTTCGGTGAGGTAAGTAAACGAAAATTATTTAATATTGAATAGAATTCGAATTTTTAATATTGAATTTTATAATATTTTTACTTTTAATTTTTTTCAGGAGAGAGGGTCGAAGAAAGAGTTAAAGGTGGCGGGACATGGGTTGAAGTTGACTCAGAGGGTTCCACTACAGTTACCTAGAGAGATGGATATCTAGGTCTGATCTAGCTTCACTTCAGAGAACCAGTTTAACAAAGATAGACACAAACCTAGTTTCCACTTTTGCAGAGAGGTGGCATCTAGAGACATCTTCATTTCACATATCGTTTGGTGAGATGACGATTACTCTAGATGACGTATCTTGCCTGCTTCACTTGCCCATCATGGGAGTCTTCTGGAACCCTCAAGATATCAGTGAAGCGCTTGCTGTTGAGTGGGCTGTTGATTATTTGGGGGTGTCATAGAGAATAGCACATCAACAAGTCCATGAGTGCAGGGGTTCCTACTATAAGCTGGAGTGGTTATATGATCGGTTCGTAGAGCACAAAGCTGCATCTCGATGGAATTATGCCACTAGAGCTTATTTGCTGATGTTAGTGGGTTCCACTATTTTTGCGGACAAGACGTTTACGCTTGTCGAGGCACGATACCTCTCACTGTTTATAGACTTGGATGGCTTATCAGGATACAGTTGGGCAGCAGCTGCGTTGGTTACTCTTTACAGATATCTCGGAGATGCTTCCATGTTCAGCTGTAAGCAGCTTGGTGGTTATCCGACTCTCCTACAGGTATTTATTTTAATTTAGTATATTTTGTTTTAATTAATTTTATCTAGTATATTAATTTTATTTATCTAGTTTATTATGTTATAATTAATTATTTTAAATTTTGTAACAGTGCTGGATTCATGAGTATTTTCCTACACTTGGGAAAAGAGGAGAGAACTGGATACCAGCTAATAATGTGGGTCTCCCACGAGCGATGAGATGGTCCTATAGGCAAGGTGCCTTGAAGGTGGATGACTTGCGGCCTATTTTGGACGAGCTGACACCTGCTGATGTCATATGGCGCCCATTCGAGAATCATAGAGTATGGCGTCAGTTTGATGAGTTATGTCTCTATAAGGGGTGTCTGAGGTGGGGTGACACTATTGTTTCATACATGCCAGACAAATGTTTGCGTCAGTTTGGATACAGGCAGTATGTTCCACATCCACCTCTTGATTCTCAAATGGCTAGTGATATTGATGTTGACTGGATTAGTTACCATCAGAGCGTTCAGAATGTGATTCGTCCGACAGCACCGACCACCACCCCATATGAGACAGATGATGGGTATCTTGAGTGGTATTATCGTGTTTCGCATCCTCGTCTGGTACCGCCCAGTGTTGATGCGACAACAGAGATGCCAATTCCTGTATATGAAGCAGGACCATTTGATCCTATAGTGGCTCGTATGTCTTCATTGATTCATCGTTATCTTCAGCAGACTGGTGCTGAAGAGGATGACCCACAATTTGCTGATTTGTTCGAAGCTTTACATCTTGGTCTATCACAGTGACTTATATTTATATTTATGATTATATGTTAACCTTTAGACAGATTTGATCTAATTGGTTTATGTTCATGTGTTAACTTTTAGACTAATTTGACCTATTTAGTTTATGTTTATGTGTTAATATAATTCACGATTCATGTTTTGAAATTAAAAATGAGTAACATAATTCACGATTCATGTTTTGCAATTAAAAATGAGTAACATAATTCACGATTCATGTTTTGAAATTAAAATGAGTAACATAATTTATAATTCATAATGCGTTGGTAATATATGCGTAAGTTGTTGTCAATGTTGTAGACGTCCTGCAAATCCTATCATCCAAGATGTTTCTGCTGGAGAACGAAACTTCTTCCAATCTACTGTCACTGGTGGCAACGGAAACCCTTCTTTCATGTTTACCTAAATAAAAAAATAATCACAATATTAAGTAAAAATAACGAAAAAGAATTAGGTTTAATCGCATTATCTAAAAACAACTAAGTACTTGAACCCAATGATTTCTGTTTACAAAACCAATGCAGTAAATTGCTACATTCGGTGAAAATGAAGATGTCATAGGGAAGAAAGTCCAGCATTCAATTCCTAAACAGACAAGTACAACATTATAACGATTCCCTATCACATAACACATATCTGGTAGAGTTAACCATTTATGTGGTGGCTGAGGACCAAATTCCTCTATCATCAAAGATTCTCTCACTACTGCTAACTGATCGCTAAATAAATTGACATACAAACTTGATCTTTCATTATGTATTATTTCCAACCCCAAGTCTCGACGAACCATTGGCCAACCATCTTTACCATATCCATGCAATGAAGCAATGACTCGAAATCTACAATTACCATCTGATAAACATTAACTACATCATCAATATATGACCTGATGTGATTAGGAAATTGAAGGATGAACTGCTTAGATGACTTTGAAGATTGTGATAATTTTAACTTTTTCAAAGCCTGTGATGGTTGAGATTTCTTTTGTGAAGACTGTGATAATTTCAATTTCTTTGAAGTTTGTGATGGTTGAGATTGCATCTGTGAAGATTGAGATGCTTGATCAACATACTCGTGATACGAAGGGTCTCTATAAACATCATATCCTACTGGTTTTTTGTCTTTCTTCTTGACTCCCCCTTTAGTTTTTATTTTCTCAGGTGGTGGACACATAGAAGTCATTGTAGGGAAGGCAAGTTCAAAAACCCTACTTTTTAATGCCCTTTTCCCAACAACATCCAGTGACTTAAACCTTTTCCATAACTCATCTATTGCACTACTCGTATCCACCTCTTATCCATCATCTACATCTTCGTCCAACTTAACTTCCATACTTAGTTTTCTCCAATGAACATGTATAACATCTATTGGTATCGGTAAACCATCAATTCTATATCCTGTCAACTCACAAGCACAAGGTAATTCGTAGGTTGTTCTAAGAGTACAAAGACATATTTCCTTGTTAGTTCCAACATAATCAACTCATTTTAACTCTTCAGCAATGCGTCTCAATGCATCTCGAGACACTGAACCACGTAAATTATTGTAAAATGGACTTACGTGGGCGTGCTCAACTTCATAAAAACTCTTTTGAAAAGAAGCTCTAATATTACTCAATTGTAACTTAAAGTTGTCGTTCATAGCCTCCCAACATTTGACCATGTCACCAATACTGTTCCCCAACATTTGCTTTAACTTCCAATGAGCAGACTCAACCCTAAAATTAATACATATTTAAAATATTTTAAAAAAATTCAAAAAAAAAAATACAATTTAGAAATACTAAAAATAAATACATACCGATTAGTCGTAGTGTTACCCAAATGTAGCACTCGATTAATCCATGCTCCAACAAATCTTTGTCTATGTGGTGTCAACCATGTGTCCTTCACATAATCAATATATTCATTACAATCAACACACACCTGCTCAAGTTGGTTCAACCTTTGATCATACTCAACCTCATCACTAGCCCATACAACATTCGTCCATAGTCCGTCAATTTTCTTTTGCGTGTCACTAGCCACATATTGTTTTCGTTTTGCACCAACATTCTTGTTAATATGAAATCGACATAGCATATTGATCGACCTTGGAAACACAGTTTCAATGGCTTTCATCAAAGCAAGATCTCTATCTGTCAAAATCACTTGTGGACACAACTCTTTCTTCACAAACAATTGTTTAAGCTTATCTAGCACCCAACAAAAAGTCTCAGTTTGCTCAGACTCAATATAGGCAAATGCGACAGCAAAAGTCAACTCGGTTGATGTCATGCCAACAATTTCAAACAGAGGTTGCCTATATTTGTCTGTCTTGTAAGTGTTGTCCATAACTAGCACAATAGGAAAAATATTCAACAACTTAATTGAATATGGATGAGCCCAAAAGATATCTCTAATTACTTCAGAGTCATCTCTTTTTCTACTCCAACAAACATAACCTGCTTCCTCAATAAGCTTAAACAAATGTTGTATCTCACTTCTAAGACCTCTTATATTTTTTTTTCTATCATACTCTTCTATTTGTATATTTGCGTGATCCAAGTGAAATTATTTGGATCTTGCTCTTGCAATGAAAGCAATATATGTCTAGGTGGAACCTTTCTCTTTGTCAAATCAACAACATGTTGCTTCTGATCCACTGTCAACCTACCGACAAATACGTGACCTTCTAATCTATCAGGTAAATCATGGTTATGAACTCCAGATTTTACATCAATCTTCCATCCAGATCCACCAGTCGCTGGAATTGATCTGATTCTAAATGGACATCCATATTTTTTCGTTGCACTCTGGGTTCCACTATCAATATCTCTGTGTTTTCCTCCTTTATCACATCCAAATATTAATTTGTTACTTCTTCCTCTCTTGCCTGTTTTAATATCTGAACGAGTGATGATAACCGTAACTTTATTTTGGATTCCGATCTCTTTAATCCATCTTATTACCTCTTCTCGTGTACCAAATCTTTGAGTTGTTGAAAAAACATCAGACGTATCTATGCATATCTGATCTTTATCGCATATTTGTAAAGGAATTTCTGAAACCTCTTCTCGTGTACCAAATGTCTGAGTTGTTGAAAAAACATCAAACGTATCTACGCATATCTGATCTTTATCGCATATTTGTAAAGGAATTTCTGAAATAATTACATGAAAAAATTTAAAAAAAAATTCAAAACAAAATAAAATTGGACAATTCAAACCGGAAGACTTGTAAAAAGTCTTCCGGTTTGTTTTTTGGCTACCGGAACACTTGCTACAAGTCTTCCGGTGAACATCCACGAAAGTTACCAAACCGGAAGTCTTTCCTGAAGTCTTCCGGTACAGTAATTTTGTGAACCGGAACTCTTTGTCCAAGTCTTCCGGTTTGAGAAAAAAAGCATACCAGAAGTCATTTTCAAAGTGTTCCAATAGATCGTGGGATGAATTTCTCGGAAGTCTGAAAAATCTAAAAAGTGAAAAAAATAATAAAATATTAAAAAATATATAAGGATAAAATGGGTATTTTTTTTAAAATGTAGGGGTATGGATATAAGTGCAGGGGTATTGGGTAAAATTTCCGTGTCAAAGACACTACATATATAATATTCATAATGGATAATGAATTAAGAGTCCAACAATAGCCCAATAATAATACTAATAACTAATAATATAAATTCTAAATCATATTTTACCCCTCTATCATTGTCGCTGGGTTCACTTGAACCTTGTCCTCAAGGTTGTAATAATATTTATATATTTGAAATGGAAAATAAAATGAGAAAGAAATAGTTGGCAAGTTATGGACTTTCGGATGTAATGATGAAGTAGGAGAAGTAGCGCGTCACATTCTAAGAAAGCACCGCAGATCCTTGTTAACAGAGGAAATATCTCCAACATAAATTGTTACTGATAGCCTTATATCCCATTTAGTAACATGGGTTATATTGAAGGATTCCCCATCACCAAAAGTATTGTTTTCATCAAATAATGACATCAAAATTGCTAAATAAACACATACACTAATATCTTCCCCATTATTACAACAAACAAGAAGAAGTTGTTTTCCATGACGAAGGTTGAACTTTGTGAAGCTCACACTTTGGAAAGATTGTTTAATAAAGAAAAGCAATCAAACTTTGAACTCACCATTGGAAATGTAGATACGCATTCAGTACTGGGAAAAGAAACCAAGATGGACTCACTATCAGAATTTAATATGCAATCGACATCAGCTGCATCTGTAGCATATTGAGATGCACCAGCTTCCAGATTAGTTGAGCCCAACCAAGAAACTACAAAATCTTCAGAAGACTCGTTCGCGTCAACTTTAATATTTGAAACATCATAAGCCAGTAACAGTTCTTCATGTGAAAGTGATTTAACTCTAATATGAGGAGCATTCTCTCCTCTATCAACATGACGTATCCTACTTTTTTCGACTATATCTCCAACCTTCTTATTACATATTTCCGAACCTGAATTTACAAGATCATAAACATGATTCCAAAAGAGAGGCGAAATTAAACCCCTAGACCAACCTTCTTTGTCATTTCCGGCACCAAGTATATAATTCCAGCTAAACTTGAAAGTTGTCCTATTGTGTTGGATTACTCTGTTCGACGAAGAAGAAGTGGAAACATGTACGACGGGAGTGAAATCCCAAAAATCGTGATGAGGAACTTCGTTTAACCATATCACAGTTTTTTGAGAAATCCAAAGCGGGCGTAACGGTTTCTTCGAGGAAACAACAAGAGAAGCAATGGTTGCTCCATTTGCTTTCAATTATTTTGTCCATTCCTCTAAGTGGTATATATATATATATATATATATATATATATATATATATATATATATATATATATATATATATATATATATATATATATATATATATATATATATATATATATATATATATATATATATATATATATATATATATATATATATATATATATATATATATATATATATATATATATATATATATATATATATATATATATATATATATATATATATATATATATATATATATATATATATATATATATATTGATCTAACTGGTTGATCAGAACCTGAGGTGGACCAAAGATAATCGTCTATGATATTAGGTGTGAAATACGATGAGGGGTGTACCTGCAAGGCATTTTGATGCTAAAGTAAGAAAACAAACAAGAGAGAGAGAGAGCAAGTACAAAATATGAGTATATTATGGTGAATATTGGATACATGGTCCTCTCGTATGAGAGGTTTTTTATAGTGCCCCCAATGCTTGGCCATTGGTCCCTATTTTCGGGGTAAGATAATCGTTTCCCGAAGAATAGGTAATTGCCAGAACTAGTCGTTGGAACGGGCAGACGTGCCCATAACTAGTTGTTGCTACGAGCAGAGGTATAGTTACGGGCACATGCGTCTTGGTTGTTTCTAGATGGTGGAACCGTGCGTGACGGGCAGAGATTGTCGAGCAGAAGTGTTGTAACCAAGAGTAAACTGGTCATCCTCCCCTGTTGGAGGGGCAGAAAGATAAATTCTTCCCTCTAAGTGGTTGGACTTAGTAAATTTGGTCGTTCTGGGAGCAGAAATGAATTGGGTCACGCTTAGCCATTTGGCCTGTCTGAAACAGTAGCCCCCTAAGTCGTTGCTACCGAGCATGATTGTGATGACTTAAGGACAGTCTGCTTCTCGGGCATAGTCGTCGTAAGCTACCTTGTGCCCGAAGGAATCTGTGCCCGGGCATCTGGAAAATTGTTTGCTGGGGAACTTGAGGTTCGGGGAGATCAACGCTTTATGGGATCTGAAGAGTGGGAGTACCATGTGTGCCTCGAGTTGTGTGCTACATTAAATGCATGATGATGGCTAGGCTAGGATCATGATGATGCTCTACCCGCGCGTGCATGTGCATGGAGCTTGCCTATAAATATTGAGAGAGTATGCTTATTTAGAAATGTCTCTTTTCTCTCATCTTGCTCTTTGTTCATTGTTTCCAGCCGTTCGCCGTCGTCAAGCATTGTTCCGGCCACCGTACCAAGTCTGACCATGGCTACTCGAACCCAGCAGCTTTTTCCCCGACCAAGTAAGTATGTATATTCTTTGCTTGTTATCTGTTTTTCTGGTTATTATGCTTTAGAATGTATGCGGTTAGGGCTGAAATGAAGTAGTTATAGGATATTTTGTGGTGGTTGTTGGTGGCAGACGTTTGTTCATCCACTTTCTCTGCTGTCGGCACCGTAATGATCATTTAGGGAAGAACAATTTAGGAAGGCTTAAGCCTTTAGTTGATCCCGAAGTAGTAACAACACAGTGGTGTTTGCTGCCGGAGGGAAACATGGATTCTGGTGTGCTTATGAGCTTTCTAGTGGTTCCCTCATAAGAGTTATGGGTTTTATGCACGGAGATTTTTTCCCGGATTTGCCAGGGAGAACCCTCGGGCACTTCCCTATTTGTTTAGCTATGCCATTTAAGTAGGGCTTAAGTCGAGGATGTTATCCTTAGCCCTTTGAGCGCCCTTTCACCTGACAAGCAGTGGAAGGGTGGATTTGATTTTGTCATCGAATTCACTTTTGTCCTCTGCTTTTCAGGTAAAGGCAATGTCGCTCAGGGATGACAAAGAAGAACACCTTAGAGATTTTCCCGAAGAGATCCCCTCGGAAGATGCTAAAACAGATGATGACTCCACGTGCCCCGAGGCTAGAGGGGTGACTGCAACGAGGACCTCGGCTGACGAGTGGATTGTGGCCGAGCCGATGGAGCATGCCTCGCTCTTTGCTTCATACACCGGGGATGTATTTACCACGGTGGGGCCAGAGGGAGAGTAGTGAGTCCACTTCCCTTCGGAGGATGACCGTATATGCTCGTCATACGGGGAAAGATTTCCCATGTACGAGTATGTTTTCAAAGAGATAGGGCTAAGGCTGCCCTTTACAAACTTCCAACGGGCAGTCTTCATACATTTGGACTTGGCGCCCTCCCGACCACATCCAAATTTTATTGCCTTTATGCGGGCATATGAATTAGTGTGTGAGTATTTGTAGATCGGTGCCACTCTTCCGCTTTTCTTCACCATCTTCCATCTCCAGTGATAGGTGTCAAGG